ACGTCTGTACACACAGAATTTTCGGCAAATGCTTATTTTACTATTTTGATTTAGAGAATCGGAGTTATTTCTAAAAACACATTCAAGGACTTTTCGACATTACAGGATTCATATTTATACTGTCTAAACTACCTATTGATCCATTAACTATCTCATTTTGAGAATTTTTAAAAATTATTTTGGGTATATAAACTGGTTTTGGGAAAGGGTCGTCTTAAGAAGAGAGAATTGTGAACACCAACGCAAGCAGTTTCAGAACTTATTGTTAGCGAGTCTTAAATTACAATTTAGCATACAGAACTATAATAGATTAGGGACTTTTAGCACAGCTTATAGCAATTGACTGTAATATCGACATTTTGCGCATGTGCACTTGTTGCATGTAATATCGATATTCTGTGCATATGCATATGTGAGTTGCATTATGCGCAGATTCTCAAAAGGGATATAAAGAGGTCGAGATTTTGCGGACGATTTATGTCTGCTACGTTTTGGTAAAAATCACAATTATTTTGTATAAATACTCTCGGATAGGGCATTTGCGTTGACTTTATCCTGAGCCTCTACAGAATTGACTAACACTTTGGACCCATTTGCATTTCACAGTTTTATCGTGGCTTCGCTATGCAACAAACATTCTAAGGAAAAAAACAAACAAGCTTCGACAGAATTAATTCGCTGCCCATTATCTCCAAAATTTAGTATGAACTAATGATGCGACGATGATAACAAAATATAGATGTTGGCAAACAACTATGTTAGTAATATATTGACCAAAAACCATTTATCTTTTCAGTCATTGATGTTTTAAAGTTCGTTTAGTAACCTCTAATATTAAATTCGGGCGAAACAAAATTTAATTTGACAGTGGATATGTAAATTAAATTATGATTAAAATTTAAGTAAAATAGTGGTGCTAAAATGGCACTGACATACTCGTACTAGTTTCCATTGGTCTCGGCTTGTTATTCGGACTTGCCAAATACTTTTGCCAACTGCCATCTATCGCCGCCCAAATTCCCGTTTTTTAAATCTTCTTCATTGTTCGGTTTCCTAGTAGTAGAAAGGAAATATTATTTTAAGAGTGTAAAGAGCAGTAAAACTTTATCCAAAATGGCAACTTTCTTGGAAACATTTTGAGCCGTTTTTAAAAAAAATGTCGTTTAAGCACTACTGTAAATTCAAAATTTGTCCCTCTTTTCACACAGATCTCTTGAGTTTTCCAAAACATCATATGAGGTAATTTCAATCACTTTCAGTCGCAAATGCAATAATCTTTACAAATCGCTGAAAATGGGTGTATTATATCATGAGAGATATTTAAAAAATTACATTTGTGTAATGTTGGAGAAAACAAAAGAATACAGCATAATTAATTCAATATTATCTTAAACAGTGCAATAAGCACTATCCATTGTAAATATTTGAAGAAAAAAATTTGGGAAAATGGAGTTTGAGTGTTTTGGAAGAGCAGAATTTTGAGCTACTTTTCACAGACCACTGATGAGTTTTTGATAAACTTTATCTCACATTAATTAAATTCACATGTTCTGTAAAAACATGAATGGGAACAAATTTCTCTAATGTCAATATTAATGACGTGAGGGGCAAGTCAAAAGAACTACAATTTTGTGACTTTCGAAAAAATAAAAGAATAGAGCAATATGGCTTTTATGTCATCTTATAGAAAGCATTTAGCACTATCACTACCAAAAGTTCAAAGTATAAATCTGGATCCTTCATTGAGAAAAACTTGGTTTTATAATTTCTTTCAAATTGAAAATATTGCAGGCAATATTGCTCTAAACTAGTAAAATTTTAGATGAAAAAAAACTTTATTTTAAGGAAAAACCTCTGTCTTCAATTTTGTAGTTATAAGAAGATGCGGAAAAAATTCACACTTCTACAATTTTTGAAAATTCCGTGTTAACCGTGAAAATCGAACCAATGCCGCCGTTATAAGATTACTTTACTCTATTCTCAAAAGAACGTTAAAAATAATTTTGAAATGTCTCAGGGGCTTCATGTAAAGTACCCCCAAGTTTTGAAGAATGTTATTAAAAATCTTAAAGCTTCGATTCGAGGTAGTTCAACAGGCGTTTCTTCAATTTGGAAAAAAAGTTTTGTATGATATAAACGCTAGTGGTGTTCACAGTCGTACGAACGGACAGATGGGTGGACTGACCAGCTGATGGACGGACGTTAAAAAAACGCATTTTTGGTACCAGAGGACTCCAAAACGTGTATTTACGTAGAAATCTTGAAATCGATTTTCAACAGCATTACACAACATTCCCTATACTACATATATTCTTCCGTATATACGTATGTATACGGAAAAGTAAAAAGTAAAACAAGAAATTCAAAGAAAAAATTGTATCCGCGTTTCAGAAAATTTTGAAAATGTCCATGGGCTTCATGTAAAGTACCCCCAAAAATTATTGAATGTTTTCAAAATCGCAGAGCTTTGACTCAGGTCAAATGAACACGGGTATATTCAGTTTCGGAAAAGTCGTGTGCCTTTTTAGGCGCTAATGTGGTTCACATACACCAGAAAGACGGGCAGACAGACAGACGGACGGACGTTTTGACATCAATCGATTATTCGATATTAAAGACACGCAAAACAGGGACTTTGGCTACACCATATGTTAGAGGATTTTTATTCTTAATTTACTGACAGGATTTAACCACTAGGCCCAGCAAATTAAAAAAAAAACAACTATACACGTGCGAAATGCGAGGAAATACCACGGCATCAGGATCATCTCCGACTCCAGTATTAAATACCGCGTTCATTTGGTTCAAAACTGACAATGGTCGCATCAGTTATTATTTCCTATTTTAATTTTTGAAAATTACGATTATGGAAATTTTCTTCCATCGAAAGCGTAAAACAACGAGCACAAAACATGGATGTTAAAAATATCGGCTTCAAGACATAGATGTTTAAAAAATATTGATCGACACCTACGTCGCATCCCTAGTATTCACCAAACACAATGAGAAATATCATTTACTGATGATAAAATGTATTTTAGTAATAAAATACAGAATCCAAGTTTATAATATACAAAAGATTTCGGTTCGGTATTGGAGCAAATTAGAAAAATAATTTTCTTTTAAAAGTAATAGAAATAAGTGTATTTCATTATACCTTTCTACATCTCTATTTGTTATAACTTTGTTTTACCAATTACATATATTTTTTAAAAATATCTCATTCTAAAGTGTAAGTTCAATAGTGGTAAATATAATAACATTTATTCCAAAAAGTCAGTTTCATATCAATATATATTGCATATGTAAGAAATTTTAACATATATTTTCGCCTTCAAGAGTTTGTTTTGGGCGCCAAAATGGGAGATTCCGAAGGGTAAACATTCAGTATGGTCATCTGAAAAATACACGTTTTCGTATAACTATTGTATAATGGAAATATTACTAACTTGAAAAACCTATTTATTGTTTTCGAAAGTGTGCATTGATAGATTCATTTTGATAGATTCATTTCGAAAGTGTGCAAGATACATTTCAGGATGATGGTTGTTAATATTTTTTGTCGACCTTCCAACAAAATTTGCAGTTTCGTTTTCCTTTTGGATGATCTCACATGTTTGGATATACCTTAGTGTGTGACATTAATAAAAAAAAGTTCCAGGAAGCAATTTTATTATTTGAGACTGGTCTTTAAATATTTGTGCGTGAATAAATAACGACTTACAATTAGGCTAATATCATTGTTCTGTAACAGTCTAGACAGTGAGCTAAACTTATTACTTAAAATTAATCTGGAATACGAAAAACATGTTGGGAGGGGGTGATGGTCGGAAAATGCAATCATAGAAAAAAAATTTTCGATTTTTTTAATTAACCTTAAATTCTCATTTTTATCTAATAGTTACAACAGTGTACTAACGCATGGCTCCGCACTAATAAATTTAAAATGATGTTGTTAATTTGCAAGGGAAAAATTCCAATATTTTCGTGGCCCATCAGTATGGGGTCTCAATTACAATTACATTTACTCAAAGCTTCTTTTGTTGACGGTATGTCATCGGTGCCCCCGTTTCGGCGATGGAATGTTGTCGTCGATGGCTATTGTTAAGCTTGCAATTGTCCTCTCGTTTTTGCATGCGGACATTCACAGGCGATGTCCGCAGCCCAGGACACGTAACTAAGTGAATTCGGAAATTGTACATCGCAAACGCTTAAGAGATAGGCAATCCTTCAAGCTCTTTCTGTTCCATTAATGACTATAATTTTCAACAACAAGTTATAAGAGAGGCTTTCTACAGGATATTTTAGTATCCGGCGGGATGGGCAGTTATCTCAAGTTACGGCGTAAGTAACTGTAAAAACTGCTGGTTCTCAAGATCAGATATGTATTACAGCCATTTTCACGTCTAAAGTCTATATGCACTTTTTACTGTTTTTTGACTGAATAAATCTAAATCTAAATATTTTTACATTCTCGTATACTACGTACGTAGTATAAAGGAAGTTATGTAACGTTGAAGCGAAAATCGGCAGTTTTTTGGCTGAAAAATATATATTGTAGATCCCCGGTACCCGAAAAACGCATAATTATTGATCCAATAAGTTTCAAATTAATTTTTATAATATATTGTGTATTCAGCAGCAATATTTTGTGCGCTCTTCATAATAAAAACTTGGCTTAGAGCCGTCTAAACTGTAAGGAAGATTTTCTTCAAAACTGATATTCCTCAATCGATCAGCCTGATGTTGCGGACACTTGAATCTCAAACGTATATTATAATTTTTATGGATTCTTTACAAGAAACTTCGAAGTTATTATCAATTTTTTCTTATTTTTCTTTTTTTTTTCATTTTGAATTTTTTTAATTGAAAAATATAATCTAGTCCTAAGGTTACGTCAATGGTTCCACATGTTCACTCGAGAATTTGTTGTTTTCACTCTTGTACCGCAAGTTATCCTTGACAACAACTCTTTCATAAACCATTTTTTTACCTTGCAGGATGAATGCACGAATGAAGAAAGACCCCTCGCGTGCGCGTCTAGGAGGCTTGGAATTCGAATTCAAGTTGGCAGGCCTGGTAAACGCCCGCCTACACGCCTTGCAGCGCCGCCAAACTCAACTTCAGCTCCGCTACGAGTTGGCCACGAACGTTCAGGGAGCCAACCCCTTCGACGACATCGTCTTGCGCCTCCGTTGGCTGGACGCAGGGCAGGAGCGGAGCATCAACTACTTCGTGCAGCTGAAGCATGTCGAGAAGACACGCCTTTACTTGCAAGAGCACTATTTCGTTGCGGATCCGACCAAGTGTCGACGTCACAATTTCAATCTCAAAAAGTATTTCGGGTTCTACAAAGCTTTACGTAATATAAGGGGCATGCCGCCGAACGGCTTAAATCACAACACGCAGATAATTCGGGAATGCGCCTTTGAGGAATTCAGGTGAGTATATTTATTTGCTGTTGAAACATTAATTTTGAGAACGCGAAATCGAAAATAAAAAGTGTTATTTTAAATTAGAAAGATGATTCATTAATTATATCCCTAGACCGAGAATTAACATTAAGATTTACTAGAAGATGTTTTGTGTAAAATTGGAAATAATATTTGAGAAACTTACGTTTTAGACATATTACAATTGAAATTGCCAACTACTTTTTCGTATCATCATAATTTTTAAAAGCTTGATATTTTTATCTTAAAAATAGACAAAAATGTAGCGTAAGCGTGTGCATTTCCTAATTAACAACCATTTTAATGAGTGGAAAGTTTTGTTTAGCTTCTTCAATTCGTGAAAGTGCAGTAATTCATCAGTTTTATGATTCTCAATAATCAATAATAACTAACAATTTTTGTGTCGTGTATACTATACTGAAATATCAAAAAGCTCATTGCCATATTTTTCCGTCAGATTTATTTGCGCCCCTTCCTTTAATGTAACATATCCTTATTGTAATTATTCTTCACAGTTCTCTCCACAACTCCTTTCACACTGCTATTTGGTTTACGCTCTCTTCTTTATCGACTTCTCGTTTAACACCAAATTAGCAGAATTTTACCTAACATTGCATTCTCAATTCGGTAATCAAAGCGTTTTTTTTGGAAGGTTCGTGTTTTACACCACGATGGACGTGTTGCCTGGATGGCAGCCGTCCACGTCGACGCCGCAGTTCGCCTTTCCCTTTGAGGACATCTTCTCCACGTCCAACCTGGGACAGATATTGACCTTTGACCATACCTGCCAGGAAATATGGAACATGATGGACAGTTCTGAAGAAGATCTCTTTCGTAGAGAGTTCTTACCTCGGCTACGAATTTTCGGTGGACAATCTCAGGTACAATAACAATACACATAATATTAATATTACTAATAATGATAATATGCCGATCAGATGGCCGAGATCGCTAAAGGAGTAGTGCCATAGTGGTTTCGGACCAGAAGATCGCGGGTACGAGTCCCGCCTCAGGCATGGGTGTATTTGTGTATGTCTGTATGAGTGTGTCGTCCTTTCACCCGTAATTATCATTATCATTTCATCTTCTATACCCCAGGGCTAACAACCCTGGAGAATAAAAATCGGACTCAGCTAAATGCTGGTCCCAGACTAAAGTTACATGCACCTGACCGCGATAATGATACTGAGCCACACACGGTAAATGCAGGGTGAATGCACGCGTGGTTTTAGTTGGCCGATTCGCGAGCAATATATATATAAAGTAATAATCACAATTAATATTTACCTGCATGATAAATTTCAACTATGCAATTATTCTCTTCAATTAAATTATGCTCTTCTTTATCGGTATTAGTAATTAACTAAAAAAGTAATAAAAGACGAATATTGAATCATATGTAAGTAAATATATTAAATGGCATAAGAAATAATTCATTATATTTAATGCAAAACGCTTTAGTGCGTTGTTTACACCCAATATAACTTACCTCTTACATGTTACTTTTGGTACAATCTTGTTTCGAGTCATGACGCTCTATTTCTGTTATTTTAAGGATTTTAAATACCTTAGATGAGCACAGGCAAAAGCAACGGGGGAAATTATATGACGGGACTCATTCTTCATTTAATATTTTTTCTTACATATGACATATTTTACATACGTTTTATTCATTTACATGCTACATGAATCTTTTCACAAGAAAAATAAAATTGTAACTATAATTACACAATTAATAAATACTATTGATAAATTAATTAATAATTAATTACACAATTAATAAATAATATTTACGTTGAATCATTTACAGGCTTGGTAGATGGCAAAAGAGGCTTTTCCTTAAATGCATCACAATTCCTCAAACTGTCAGGTGGAAATAGAGAAAATCAGGGGTTGAACGGGATTACAGAAATAAAATGTTACTTTATAAAGGGGTTCGCAACCCTTTTAAAGTTTTCAGGAAAACCATCGCCTTGGCCCCTCACCCCTCTGCGCAAGCCTACGTTAAAACATGTGAGGGCAATTTCAAAATTTGATTAAACATGAAGCGAAATATTGAAAAACAAACATATTGCAAAGAAAATAAACGATATTGGATAATTACGTAAAAAGGAAGGAACATTAATTAGTGAATGATAATGATGTTTGCAAATAAATCGTGGATAGAGGTGATAAAAAGTTTGAAGTTTGTTTCAGAAGTCAGGGCACTAACCCATAAACGTAATTTATAGTTTAATTCAGATTTACGTTAAAAAGCAATGCAAAGGTGTAAAATTTAAACTCTCTATAATGTTTTGCTTTCAGGCATCTGCGTTGGATCAACTAATAGCAGAAGCCACCACTGACGCACTGGGCGGGCAGCTCCCCCGCACGGAGGCCATTCTCTCCAAGTACTTATTGTTCCTGCGCGACTGGTGGCAGAGCAGCAAAGGCGATTGTCTCACCCAGAGCACCACCGAGCTGGAAGACATTATCCGCGACGACATCAACGACTCCACCTGCACCGAGTGCTTATTCTTCCAGGAGCGCTATTGCGAGGCACTGGCCAATCAGCTGCAAGACGGTGACGCCTCCTACATTGTGACGCCCAGCATACCTGCGAGTTTACGCCACTCGAAACTGAAACTCACTTTTGGAAAAACTCTCCCAAGAACTTTCATAATTATCTCAGTTACGAACGTAGAAGAATATCCATTAGGAGCTTTGTTGTCTGTGTGCGAGAAACTGGCCGAAGAAGTGGTGTTAACTCTGGATTGTGTTAACGAACAGGTTCTACATTTTGTTGGTGAAATCTTGGCCAGACAAACGTGTAACTTGCGAATCGTGTCGTCAACGTGGGAACGTAGTGTGCACGACGTTGTGGCACGTAGGGCGCAGCGGTACACCACCTGGTCCGAGGTTTGGGCGCTAGGGCACATGCAGGAAATCGAGGCCCAGCGCCTCCTGGAAGCGCACGTCTTGTTCCAAGGTCACGAGGTGGCGCTGCAGGAGCTGGACGGCGCGTGGCCGTCGATGCGCCGTGAAGTGAGCGGGGCGACTCTCGCAGCCTTGGCCACTGGAGACACTGTGGCTTTCGGCGCTCCTCTGCCGGAGATGGAGGAACATTATGTGCAACGGGAGCTGTACCACAAGGCGGAGTTAAGCAGAGACGTGTTTCAACTATCGAGCAGTTTGGAGCACTTTTTTCTGAAAGGGTACGTTGTAACACAATCCGATATCCAGATAATATGATTTCAAGGTGTAGGTAAGTAAAATGATCAGATAGGATAATTTCAGAGGAAGATGATTACCCCATCCGACCTATCAATGTTCCAGTCGTAGCTTTTATCATACTTATTTTATTTAGTACAGGCAATTGGGTGTGGTACAGATTTGTCACCACAACATTATCGGGAAACAACAGGATGTATTACTAGGGTGGTTGAGGATTTTAGAATGTAAGGTAGTCTGTGTCGTGCATCAAAATTGGTTTTAAACACCTGGAGAAAGAAAAGCTGATTTTATGTTTATCTTCATCTCATATGAACTTATGAATCATATGTTCTTATGAACTGAACTTATATGTGTATATGAATCTTCATACGAACGGAAATAGCACAGAGTAGATTTGGAGAGTATATTCTTTCTTTATTAGTAAGTTAAATGTTTGCTTACTCTAAAATGAATATATCTTTTCGCTTTGAATTTCATAAATTCGAATTTAAGTTTGTTTTAGATATAACAAAGTAATCATTTTATATCTTTATGTAGAACATGTTTTAAATAATTGATTTCGTTTTATTTCCGGACATTATTTATCTCCTTCATTTTCTCCAAATGACATGCACAATATAATAATCTGTAATTTAACCATTCTTCGGAAGACTTCTTTTCCTTTTCTTTCAGTTTTTATTTTCCAGTTTCTAGTAACTACAAATAATTAGACTTACGTTTTCGTCTACTGCAGCGTTTTTCTTTAATTTTTTTAGTAAGTAACATATTACTAGCTGCAAAAGCGATATTGTTGAGTCTTGTCTTGCAATATAAATTTAATTTCACTAATATTTTAGAAATTAATTTTATTTATGTTAGAACTTTATTTTCTGCTCTTTGGGAAATGCAATATTTTTCTAACATTTTGACAAGATTTCCAAAATGCATTTTTAATGTTGTAATCGCCTGTTTGCTTATATTTAAATCACATAGAAATTTAGGGATGTTTTAATAATATGTTTATGAGACTAATTTCTATCAAACCTCAGTTTTCCTGTTATTCTTTTAAATACTTGAATACATAGGATATTCTAATTTCTGCAAAGCAGAATTATTATGTATTTTGAAGAGAGCATGTGATATTCAATAATGCTCAGCATATTTGACTTAAATTGCTGGGCATCAGGATTGGTTGAGTCTCCCGCTCTCAATCTTTGTTTTCCACTTGCTGTTATTAACATTTTATGTATCGTTTATTTTCCATTATAATAGGTACACTATCACAAGCCTGAATGGTAGTCATGGCACTCAAGGTAGACTCTAAGAACTTACCACCCTATTGATCTTTTGTCGAACAAGAGACGCTGGTTAAGCAGGAAGAGCCATTACAAAACCACCAATTTTGCTTCTTTGTATTCCAAGTATCCGTCATCTTGTGGTTCATTGGTGCCACTAATACTCTGTATTTTCCACACAAACCTATTCTTTTCATCATATGTGCTGGTGATATTTTTCAGTCCATAGCAAACTAACGGCAATTCACACATCTATTCATTAGATTCGTGATTATTATCTTTAAAGACCAGATTTTTGTTAGTTCACTAGCATTACCGCTTGGTAAAAGAACATTTTATCCTATTAAATATAAGTTTTATTTTTAAGCATATCAAAAAATGGATAATCTTTGTAGTTATTTCGTTTAGCAATTTTGTAAGTTCTCTTCCCTTTCACACTTTATTATTTTTCGAATGTAGATATTTTCGACGTGGGGCCTCTACTTAGTTTTATAAGCGAACATAATTCAATCGTTTCCGCTTCAAGAGTGTACATCTATCCTTTCTGAAATTTATATTAACGCTATAATTGTTATTTCTATTTTCTTATTAAAGGTTTGCTTCAATTTGTAGCCATCCTTATTTTCATATTTCTAAGTATTTATGCATGTTTGAAATTATCTTCTAATAATTTTTATCTAATGAAATATTATCAAAAATTACCATTTCTGCCCTTAAAAAAATTTCCCTCTCATGATGATCTCTGTCCAGGTTCCCGGAATCCGAACTGACGTGGCTGCGATCTGACGAGTGTCCGTGGACAGAGAGCTACGACGTGCAGGAAACACCCCCCAGCAGTCGCCTGCAGCGCCTCCAGGACGGGTTGTTCGGCCGCAGGCGTCGCCCGCGCCTGCGCAGTGTTCTCAGCACCACGACCACCTGGAGCTGCTGGGCCAACATCCACGACGAGGTCCTTCTGGTGCAGGTAACTCTAAATACCCCTTCCCACTCAGCAGCGCTTCCGAGAAGTGGTAGAGTCCTTCCCAGAACGGCGCCACTGCCACGCGACACCGCCGCACGCAAATGCACGCAGAAAAGTGAAGGGTCGGGAGACCGACGCGTAGGTGACAACCAAATAGACGCAGCTCTGCACCGCGACCACGTTTACCAGTGGAAAGACCACCATGAAGAGCTGTGTTCCGCTGGAGGTGGTGCGTAGGCACGTCCACGCTGCTGGTGCGGGAGTCCGCCCCCGAATGCCACAGCAGCGCGAGCTCCCTAAACGGGAAGACCTTTTAAATCAATGGTTTGCTACCAGCTGCCTCACTCGGAAGCACTACAGAACGGTGTTGTGGAAGGGGTTCAAGTAGTCGCGAGGGGCTTAGCCTTTCTCGCGGAACATAGGTTGGGTGGTTTATTCATAATAAGGGAAAAAGATAATATATGAGCCGTGACCGTTATTGTACAAAGGATTCCTATATAGTTTGAATTAAAGTAATTGTCTTTTTCAAAATCGCAGAGCCTTTAGAGGGGCCAGATTGACCGGGGAATGATCATTTAGGGGAAAAGCCCACGGGAGTCATGTTGGGGAATAGTTTGATAACTAATGTTGTTTACAGGCCGACGGACGTTTTGTAATAAACTAGATTACCTCTTTCAAGGGACCTCTAATCGTGATATATAACTATGCAAAGTTATAGAGAAAGTAAATTTTAGTACAAGGGAAAGTAATTTTCTACATCTTGGAACAAGATTTATCTACATATTGCACATCACCATCCCGCAATTCGAGTTTTGCTGCCAAAACATTGGCACTTGTGCAGCAGCATTTCATACATATCTTTGTGTTGGGTATCTTTCTTTGCATATACGTAGTATACGACAAAGTAAAATTACTTTAATTCCAGGACACGTCCCTAGAGCCCAGGAATCTGCACTGGCTGTCGTTCACGCACGGGCAAATCGTGTGGCACAAGAGCAGCGGAAGCAGCGCCGCCCTGCGGCCGTTTGTGCAGCGCCGCAGCGCTGAGTGCGGCGACGACAGCAACTGCGCGCACGCCGACTGCGAGGGGCTGCTGGGGTGGCGCGCGCGGGAGCTGCTGCTGGTCAGCGAGCCCGGCATGGGCAAGTCTACGCTGCTGGCGCGCGCCGCGCACGCGCTCAAGCGGCAGGAGCCCCAACACTGGGTGCTGCTGCTGCGTCTCGGTCACGGCCTCCTCGACCAGCTGCCCGACGCTCCAACGCCCGATGATGTTGTGGCGCTGCTCGCCAAGGCCGCTGGCTGCCAGCCAACGGACGACGCCAAGGTGCATTGTAACTCCAGTTCTCAATGTAAAGCCACTTAACACCCTTCATCTCAACACTCTTCAGCTCAACACCCTTAAGATCAACACTCTTCAGCTCAACACCCTCCAGCTCCACACCCTTCAGCTCAACTCTGTTCAGCTCCATACCCTTCATCGCCATACCCTTCATCGCCATACCCTTCATCGCTATACCCTTCAGCTCAACATTTTTTTGCTCAACATCCTTGGACTCAACACGAGGCTGTCTGTATTTCAACTACATATGCTCAACAACAAACATCTGAATTTCCTTCTACTCAGTCTCCTTTTCTTGAACTGTTTTTTTTTTACTTTACTTCTCCTTGTCAAATGTCTCTCCCAGTATAAAACCCTCTGCTCCTAACTGCCTGTATCATTCTCAGCGGTCTTCTTTTGAATACCTTCTACCCAAACTGCCTCTGAATTGGCTTGAGTCCGCGTCCCTAAGCGAGCCTTGCCCGCCTGTGCGCAGGCGCCTTGGCTGTCGGCGGGTGCGCGCTTCCTCCGCGAGAGCGTGCTGCGGTCGCGGCGCGCGAGCGTGCTGCTGGACGGCGTGGACGAGGCGTGCCCTGCGCACAAGGCCAAGGCGCTGGCCGTGCTGCGCGTGCTGCGCGAGTGGCGGGTGGCGCGCGTGTGGGTGACTGCGCGCCCGGCGCTGCAGGAGGATCTGGCGCAGGCGCTGCAGTGCGCTCCGCTCGGGCTGCGCCCTCTCTCGGAGGACGAGCAGCGGCGGTACCTCGCGCAGCGCTGGGGGAAATCCTCCGAAGCACAGGTGAAGAACAAGAAATTATTGCTATATAAAATATCGATTAAGCGCCTATGAACTTTTAACTCTACACTAATTTAAGTAAGACAGACATTTGGTTAACATGCAGATTATAGATGAAGTAAGAAATAAAAAACAACGACTACAGTGAAAGACGTCCACGACTCTCGCAGTTTAATTAGTACAATCTTACGTATATTTTTGTAATCTACATTATAGTATACCAAAAACGTTTTAGAAAATAATGTTTTTGTCTTTATTAACGAAATTGTCAGGACACTACTGTTCTGTATGTTATGTTTTAAAAAAAACATGTTTTGAACTGCGATGTCATTAGTGATCATTTTGGGCAATTCTTAACAATAATTCAAATAAATATATAACTTTTAAAAATTTGAAGACATTATATGTGAGACATTATCAGTTAGATTATTGTTTACAACGGAAAAAAGTCTTTGAGAAGTATTTTAAATATTGTAGAATTATAGTAAGTTACTCGTTCGTACTTCACTCTTCGTGTTCTTACAATTATTTCAAACTTCCTCTCATGTTAGTGCGTTAAGTTTTTAAATAAACCTAAACAAATTTAAATTACTTTTTAAGACAAATTGCGACGGTTGTCTCGGCTTCTAATTTTAAAACTCCTATCAAATGAATCAAACCAAGTTTGTGGAGAACATTGTTATGGGAATGTATGAAGTTATTACATTTGTATACTTTATTTTACTTCAAGATGCAGACCCTTCCTCATCGGGGACATTTACATTTCCCTGCATTTTAGATACGTATTTTACAATTTCAAGGGGGACTTAAGTGCGTAGGTAATACTACATATTTCTTAGTATCTATTCAAATAAAATATTCGAAATATGACTTGTCTATTACAATCGTGATCGTTCGATTGGAAACGACAGTACGCTTCTTTCCTAAGTGTCTGTATAAAATAGTCTCCAAATTACGCAATTAATATTTGTATAATGTTTCGTGGTTGGCAAATAATTTCAACTTTAAGTGTACATATTTTCTTGGAGATTGTGAATAAAAATGTATGTTATATTTTTGCATTCAAAGTAACTTCATTTAGTTAAGATTTTCCACTTTTTGACATAATGAAGCAATCTGAATGCCAAATACAATTATTAAAATTATATTAAAATTCCTTACACATTGTCAGTTTCTAACATTTTGTATTTTCACTTCATGAATCTGTCTTATGTGATAATTCATGAATTTTCATTTGTTACCTTCTAATTGTATCATAATTTCTTTTCTTCAGGATAACGTGGACGAGCGGGTCAACCAGTTCCTGAGATCTTTGCAAAATGCCACGGAACATCACGGCTATGCTCTGTCCGGTGTCCCTCTATACACTCGCATACTCGCCGAAGCCTACAAGGACGAACCCTCCGTCTCAGGAGAAAGTCCACCGCACGACTCGCTCTCAGTAATGAACTCCATGACAATCATACGGAAATTCGTTGAAGAAACAGAGAAGAGGTATTGGAAGAAAAGTGGAATACCACAAAGCACCCTCATTAACTTTGGACTTGACAAACAATCTAACTTTATGACAGTGCATCAAATTTGTGCAATTTTCTTGCTTTTTAATGATGAAAATCTTCTTGGGCAGCACTATCAGAAGATCAATGATGCCGTGAGTGAAATTGTGAAAAATTTTGAAACGGAAAATAAAGGTATTATGACTAATGTGATAGATGGGAAACCGGAGTTTATGCATCAGACATTTGTGGAGTATTTCGCTGCATCATGGCTTTGTGATCATTTCCATGAGATTCCAAAGTTAATCTACTCTGTATACGCCAACCACTGGACAGAGGTAAGTAAAATTAAAAGGCTTATCAATTTTTGAGTGTGCGAAATGTTATTTGTACAGGTGAGATAAGGGAAGAATTCTTCACTTTTTCATTGGCCCATGTTTATTATTAAATGGTTGAACTATTTACTTACCTCTGTAACTGTATTTAAAAAAATGTTATATATTTAATCTCACAATAAATATAAATGGTTCTTTAAAAACATACGCAGTTTTACAGGACATCACTACCATGAATATATACATAGTCGCTCATGAGACTTTATTTCTTGAAATAATAATAATAATAATAATAATAATAATAATAATAATAATAATAATAATAATAATATCAATTTAACATATTATGGTGAGCTAACAAGCATTATAAGACAACGCATAAGTTGGAAGATACAACTTCTTCACATTCATCTACGTCATATTACAAATGTTGTGCAGCCGTTGTACTTGGAAACAACAAACCATGTGATGTTCTGGAATCGACTAATCACGGACAAAACAGTAAAATATAAGAGGGCTGGTATCTTCCTCATTGACTCTGCGCAGGTGCCCAGCTTCCTGGACGCGCACCTGTCGTGGGGGCTGCGCCTGCACGAGGCGGCGCTGGGCGGCAGCGTGCGCGGCGTGTGCGAGGCGCTGCGCGCGCACGCGCCCGTCATTGCGGTGGACCGCGGGGGCCGCACGGCCCTGCACCTGGCGGCGGCGCGCGCGCTGCCCGACGTGGTGTCCACTCTGCTGGCCGCCGGCGCGCCGCCCGCCGCGCGCGACCAACTGCTGCGCTGGACGCCGCTGCGCTACCTGGACGCCGCCGCCGGCCGCGCCAGGGCCAACGCGGAGCAGCTGCTGCGCGCGGCCGACGCTCTGCTGCGCGCGGGCGCAGATGCGCGCGACGCGCCCAGGTAGGACGCGAGGACCTTCTGAACATCTTACTTCACACGATTCTGCCCGCGACGTACGAATCACATTAGAGAGTGATTGACCGTGCGTAATTTTTGATTATTTGTTGGTGAGATGCGGCAGTTTGCTCTGATTTTGATCCATCTGAACTGCATAATTACTTGCAAAAATACGAAAGTGGGCTTAAAGAATTAAGAGGTTTGGTTTTTGTAAAATGAACATAGTACCTCCTGATGTGGAATACAGAATTATAGGTCTGGTACTATGCGAGAGAAATTATTCTAATATTGTCGAACCTTGAGATAAAAATGCCAAGAAAATAATTTAGTCTCTTAATATAATCGTGAAAGATAATTTTGGTATTTCTCTTTAATTTAATTTATCATTAATTTCGTCTTCTTCTCTTTTGCGTCCATTCCGTGGAGTGGAGGGACATAAAAGGACTGAATCTGAATAATTGTAAAAGAGTGTTTAAAAATGTCGTATTTAGTAGAATACTTCCAAAGAACATACTTCGGTTTTTACCTGACCCCCTTCATTTTCCCACTGCCCCCATTCTTTATCTGAACCCGAACTGTCCCTTATCACTATCCGTCATCACAAGTCATCTATCAGAACTCAAGTTTCTCTAAAAATGTCGTGTCCGCATGGAACATGCAAACCTGGTTTAAAAGGCTTAGATCGCATCGCTTCCGAGCTATTCGCGGTTATAAGAGTGTGTGATGCAATAATGTTCTTTCTATGACAAGCTGCAAACTTTATTTTTTTCATAAGAAAAACTTTAGAACGTGTTTCTTAATGGAAACTTAAATATTTCCGTAGTCTACAATGTACTTATACAAATATTATAAAGCATTTCAGCTGAATCAAAATCTTACTGGGTGGCCCAACAATGTATGCAAATGTACTATAATAAATGCACAGAACTGTTGCTGTCATTTTAAGAGAATTTTTAAAGTTCATGTGATTTCAAGGCTGTAAAATGGTAAAAATAATTTTTGTTTTTTTTAGCAAAACGCCAGCAATTGAAACAATCTAAAAAAAGTTGTGTATTGAGACTTTTGAGATTTTTTCGAGTATTTTCCAATGTTGTTATACACAGTAAAATGATTTTGTGTAATTTGTTTGAAAATGTTGCGTTTAAATTTGGCTCGGCAAAAACATTTTAAGAAACGTAGAAATGAAGAATTTTTCTCTTAGTATTAATTATTTTCGTATTTTTATATTATTCAATCCAATAAAATAGTGATAAGTTGACCAAAAAATTAAAATACGAGTAAAAATACGGAGCTTCGAACTATGTATTACAAATATTTGAATCTCTAGAATTTGAAAGAATTTAAAAATGTCAAATCTCTTATACGAGGATTTATAACGTCGTTCTCTGACTGGAAGGGAAGCAAATTTGTAAAGTCTAAAATAGGATATCCTTCCCTAACCAGACATCTAGACTCACCACCCTATCCTACACTAGTCACTCTATGCCGCAAATATTATACAATTACTGTGCATTGAATATGACTATAACAAACAATTAAAATCTTTTTGGAGTTTTTTTGGAGAAGAATTTGCATTACTATGCGCTGTTTGATTTGAATGGTAATATCGTTCATACGTAATTTAATCGCTATCATATATTTGGCCAACAGAATGACGAGGAACGCTCGCCACGACGGGTCTCTGATGAGCGTGGCGATGGGGCGCAACCTGGCGAACGTGGTGGGCGCGTTCTTAGCGCGCGGTATGATGGGGTATCTGGCGCGGCGCGCGGCGTGGAACTCTGCGGCGTGGGGCTCGGCGGCCGTGGGCGTGGGCGTGAACGAGGCGGACGCGAGCGGGCTGGCGCCGCTGCACCACGCGGCAATGCGGGGCCACGCGCGGCTCGCTGAGCTGCTCTTGGCGCGCGGCGCTGACGTCCACGCACTGACGCAAGCCCGCAAGACGCCGCTGCACCTGGCGGCGCTCGGCGGCCACTCTGTGCTTTGCAAGAAACTTATCCAGGTACTTATGGTCTAGGGGCAAATATACGTCACTTATCTGATGATTCTTTTTGCGCTGCTTTTCGGCTCTGATACCGTGAGATTTCAATGGCAAATATTTTCCTGCACTTACATTTTTTCTTCTTTCTGAGTATTGTTTCCAAGCAGCTCTTTTGACACCTAGTATTTGTACAACAGTTTTAAATATTTCAGTTTTTACCATGCAATTTCTTAGAATCTATTTTTATCATGTAGGTTTTTAGCATTTACTTTTCCAAAATTTAGTTTTCCAGCATTCAGTTTTCCAGCATTCAGTTTTTCAGCATACAATTTTTCAGCATGCAGTTTTCCAGCATGCAGTTTTCCAGCATGCAGTTTTTCAGCATGCAGATTTTCAACATTCAGTTTTCCTGCGTGCAGTTTTTTAGCATGCAGTTTTCAGCATGTAGTTTTTTAGCATACAGTTTTTCAGCATCAATTTTTCACCATGCAGTTTTTCAGTATGTAAATAAACGCAGGTACCTAGAAATTGTATAGTCCTGGACCGTCTGTACATGCAACCTGATTCCACGGTAACTGTCCCCAGGCGAAGGCGAAGGTGAACGCGTGCGACGGGCGGGGTCGGCGTCCGCTGCACGAGGCCGCGCGATGGGGTCATGGAGCCGTGTGCGAGCTGCTGCAGGAGGCGGGCGCAGACGTGCGCGCGGCCGACGCCCAAGGGCGCACGGCGCTGCACGAGGCGGCGGGCGCGAGCGAGCACGGCGCGTGCGAGGTGCTGCTGGGACGCGGCGCCGACCCCAACGCACGGGACGCGCACGGCCGCACGCCTTTTCACTACGCGGCGAACGGAGCTCGCCAAGAAGACCCACTCTGCTGCTGTCTGGAGGTACTCTCCATCTACGCTAAGCGCACACTATTTGATGGGCTAGGGATGGTAGTCCAGATTCTGTCCCCAGGTGACGCGAGGTAGATCCGCTCTGCTTTAGCTTAGAGGTATTTGTCCATCTACTAACTTTATTAGACGTACATGATGTCATTCTCTAGAGCTGGTTGCAGAGAGCCGAAGTGGGGCACAGCGCCAAATAACATGCTCGGCTGATGCCTCGAGATATTCAGTCACGAATTACCATAACGAATACTCCAATAGTTATACTACTATTTTTAAAATAGTGTAAATAACGTGGAACTGCAGTTTATGCCGTCATCATTGAGATATCACATTTAATCTCTTTAAACGGAGCATTTATTCTTTTATATGAACTACTTTATTGATAGATGGTTTAGTTCAGATTATATTATCAAAAAGCAGACGTTTCATCAAAAAGTTTTCGTAATATGAAAAATGCGTCCAACTAAAATGAACAGCATGGCAAGGAGTAATCCAAAAAATATCCATATGATCTCATTTAATGGAAAATTTAATATCTTACAACTTTTTCTAGGATCATATTTTCGACTGCTTTCTGAGATACAATCGTAAAACCTCAAAAATGCTCATTTTGGGGTTCATTCCCCCCCCCCTCCGTTCAATCACAAGTGCGCCGAGAAAAAACCTAGTATAGTAATATTGGGTCAAAAAAGTAGCCATTAAAACACAACAAGTTGTAGCAATTGCATCCGATTTGTATTTGTTTTCTACTGGAGTACCTTCCGCGCAGACAAGCAGTGGCAGCAGCGACCTGGCGGAGGCGTGCAGCGCGGCGGACGAGGAGTCGCTGCAGTGGCAGGAGACGCTGCTGGCGCGCCAGGCCGTGTGCCAGCTGCTGGCGCGCCGGGCGCCGACGCTGGAGGCGCAGCACGCCGTCCGGCCGCACGCCCTTCCTGAGGCCGCGGCGCGTGGGCGACGAGGCCCTGCGTGCGCGGCGCTGGCGCCCTGGCGCCGCGCCCTGCGCCCTCGACGCCCGGCGCCGCTCCGCGCTGCACGCCGCCGCCCGCGCGCCCGGCGCCGCCCCCTTGCCGCGCGCTCGCGCGCCGCACGTGCACGTGGGGCGCGAGCGACGCCGACTGCCGCACCGGCTGCGCTGCACGAGCCGCGGCGCCGGCGACGACGAGCGCGCCGTCGGTGTGCTCCTACAGCTCGGGGCTGATGTGCATGCAAAGTAATAATAACAACTATTTTTTTTTAAATGTAAAGGAGCAATATTATATGAATTCGGACGTTTTCAATATCTTGAGTATTAAGACAGTAAATTTAGTACGTGTTCTGTCAAATATATTACATGAAATGTAAATTATTATTAAAATTAATTATAGAATTATAAAAAATATCTATAATTTAAATTACAGGAAATCCTTTTTAATGATTACGTATTGAATAATTTTACTGGTTGTTCTAACACGAATGAAATTAAAATAACAGAATTTATTAACAATATTCAACATAATTAATAAACAATATAATATTATATGAACTTTCATCTCCTTGATTTGTAATTTTCTCTGGTTCTCAGCATTTAACTTGCCGTGCTGGCACTTGCACATCGGTTCATGTTACGTCTCAATACGATGAACAATCCATTAGATCTGTAAGAAACTATCGCAAATTTATTTTATCTTTCTAGCACATGGACTTCATGAACAGATCTAATCAAAATATCGGCGTAATCGGACACCACAAATTCTGAGGAAAGCTTTAAGTGAGGAAAGCTGTGGTGTTTAGCATGGTCCTGCAGATAAACGCAGCTACCATTTGCTTAGTATCTCATAAAATTGAGTGTAGGTCAAATAATATATTAAAATGAGTGAAAAAGTAGTATCTTCTGCCAACGTATTCTGCGAACTGAATTCAACAAATACACGGGTAGTCATCGTCAAGTCTTCCTTTACGTGATAGTTCTCTGCTTGTATCTTCTCGTTCCTTGGCAACAGTTACATCTACTTATATCTTTCTTTTCGCCCTTGCAGATAGACTGTTGGCCGCAGGTTCCTGAACATGTCGGCGCACACTTCTGATCTTTAGTTACATCCTCTTCTTACTTGCTCTTTCACGTGTTTTATGGACAGTGGTTCCATCTTCTAGTCCCTGCTCTCCAAGAGGGTCTCTGTCGGCAGGTGCCCTCGACACACAGTGGCACGTGAGTTGGAAGGGTTAGGCATCTGCGACTAATGATTTCCCGACCTCCTCGTAGGGACATCTTCGGCAGCAGCGCTCTGCACATTGCGGCGCGCGCGGGCGCGGAGCTGGGCTGCCGGCGGCTGCTGGAGGCCGGCGCGTGCGTGAACGCGGCCGACAACGTGGCGCTCACGCCCCTGCACGAGGCCGTGCGCTGCGGGCGAGAGGCCGCGTGCCGCGTGCTGCTCGCGCACGGCGCCGACCCCGACGCGCCCGACTTGCACGGACGCACGCCTCTGCACGACGCCGTCGCGCTCCGCCTCAGGCACGTCGGCGAACTGCTGCTCGAGCACGGCGCTGACGTTCGGGCCGAAGACGCGGAGGTGAGACCCTGCAGGGGAGCAAAAACTGACGTCGTTGAGACAGTCGGTAAGGGGGGCGGTGCAAAGGGTGAGGTCGTCGACGAGAGGTCAAATACCGCTTTTCAAATACAGTCCAAAATATAAAGCCAGGTCACTAAGTGTCCAGGAGGTGTACCATAAGCGAGAGGACCAATCATTTTACCAGAAGAAATCACAATGTCAGCGTCTCTGGTGAGGAATTATTGAAAATCACATTCGATATTATTTTCGATGTCTGGCTTCGCCTGCCATCCATGGAAACAGTTTTAAAATCTTACATCGGCAATATACATAGGAAAGAATGATGATCTAACCAGGTCGGCGACAGTCAGTATCACGAGTGCCGGATCGCATGTAAAGTATGGCATAAGTACTGGTCCAGTTATGTAGTTCGTTCTCGCATATACTGTGCTGCTTTTTAAGTCATTGTCAGGCGGAAGACGATACTGTGCGCATAGTTTGGAAATGCCAAAGTCGTCCTTCCACCGCCGCCGCTGCTCCAACACAAGTTGTACACAGGTTACACACAAGCGGCCAGACAATGCTCACCCTTACAACGGACGAATATGATAGCTTCCGCCAGAAAGAAATGGTCGATTATTACTGACAGGGATACTTATTAACGTAATAAGACCGTGAAAAGGGTATGCGCAATGTGTATCGCAATTTTTGTTTCATTTCCGCGGTAAGCACACATGGGAATGTCGGAGTAATGTTAAATGTTTAATTTTTGTTTACCTCGCTTTAATTAAATTCACGAGTGCAAATGTGAACTCATTGTATGAATTATATGCATTACAATGAACCTATTATGTTTGTTTATTATAGTATAGGCTTTAAAATTAATTTAATTTGTATACTAAAGGGAACTTTTTAAAGTTATACCTGAAGTGTATTGTTATACGCAGGTAAAGAATGGTCATTTTTTCAAAACGATAGGAGTCGTTTGGAAGCTTTTGAAATGTGGATGTGGCAAAGAATAGTCCGAATATTTCTTGGACAGAAATAATTTATAAAAAAGTAATATCAGAAGAAGTGAAGGAATAGAGATACTAACTGAAAACCACTTGGAGTAGACAAGAAAATATTTTTGAACACATTTTTCAACATAATCAATTCTTAAGTACAATTTGGATTAAAAATTATTTCAAAAGGGAGGAATACGGAGACCAAAATTGAAAATTTTATAAGAAATTCAAACAAACTGCACTTCGCTAAATTATTAATCTGTATCTAACCATCTTGTCGGCGTACATAGGTAGACTACCCTCATTTACTACTAACCTCCCAAACACATGGAGTGAAATCAATAGACAAAGTCTACGATGTTCGGCAGGGCAAGACGCCACTTCACGAGGCCGCACGGACGGGCGACGGGGCGCTGTGCGAGTGGCTGGTGGAGAAAGGGGCCAACGCCCACCAGGTGGACGAGGACGGCCGCACCGCCATGCACGAGGCGGCAGCGCACGGTGAGTGGCACAACTCTATTCTTATTGTTAGTTAGATTGCTACGGAATTCATGTTGAAGCCCATTACACATATTAGAGTTACTCTAAGAAGGGAGACGAGGGTGGCCTCAGGGTGGTAGCGCATGACGAGTAGCACAACACATTTATTATTGTCAGTTAGATCGTTACGGAATTCATGTTGAAGCTCATTTCTCATATAAGAGATACTGCAAGAAAGGAGACAAGGACGGCCTCAGGGCGGTACCGCATGGCTAGCATAAGACATTTTTTTATTGTCAGGTAGATCGTTACGGAATTCATGTTGGTGTCCAACACATATAAGAGACATTGTGAGGAGGGAGACGAGGGAGGCCTACAGGAGGCCTACAGATGATGACGGCCTACAAAATCGAATGTAACACTGCTGTAGATTAAATGAAGGAATGCGTGACGACAATGGCACGTAAAACCCTGCGATCTCGCTTCTAAATGTTCAGTTCCAGACTACGATAATCTAATATCATATCTCTGAATTGCGTGGTGTGTGTGCAGGGAGAATCGGCGCGTGCGTGGTGTTGGCGTCGCTGGGATTGGCGCTGCACACACGTGACCATCGCGGGCGCTCGGCGCTCGATCTGGCGGCGCAGGCCGGCTACGACGTGGCGCACGCGCTGCTGCGGAGGGTAAATCGGGCCGGCAGAGAGGACGACCCTCCGCCCGCCGCGACTCCTCGCACGCCAGGCGATGCGGACTGAGCTTCTCAACAAGCACAGGAACCTGCGTGAACTCTCAGATTTGTGGATAGACATGAGATGTCCCGATCTTGTTTGTCGCTGCAGTCCCTCTGACCGGGAGGTCCTAGGTTCGAGTCCCGACGGTGGCAGGAGTTTTGACACGAGCTATTTTTGACTTTAGCTTCAGCTAGGTCGAATTAAGTCGCTGTATGGAGGATAGTTCTAGCAGCCGGCTGCTCTCGCCGGTAGCTTTCTGTGGTTTCTCCGATAAACACCAGGGGAATGCCGTACCCTACCAAACTGGCCACGGACCGCACGCGGCCTACCTCCTCCTTGCCCTACCCTCTCTCCTTAAACACACATTACTACAAACACGCACTACACAAGCACATATACCGGGAGACCGGTCGGGACTTTAAGGGTTGTCCCTGCTGGGGCAGTGCCCCGCTGGTGGGAGATACCTGGTTGAGAAAAACTCCGCTAGCCGACGGTAGGTCGACGTCGGATATCACCATACAGCGAGAGAAAGATCACCCCCCCCCCCCGAGCTAAACATTCACTACACTTTGGGGACTCGTGTGAAGTACTTGGCGGCTGAGATGGCTCAGGTCATCAAGTAAGATTTGCAGTGTCTAACCAGGAGGATGAAGTTTTCGAGTCTGGAAGGTGGCAGAATTTTCGACACAAACTATATAGCTACTTGAAAATTCTTGGCTAAGGGCTCTAATTTCTTGGTTTCTCTGATCAATACCAGGCGAAACTCAAAGCATTACTGTAATTCGCAAACCATTGCCTGCGCGCGATCTTTCCTCTCCTTTCTTTGGCACATCCTAACTCCTTACTAAAAGATGCACTTGCATGCACGACCACACTTGATGGGACACAAGTCGGGAGCATAGGGCGCTTTCCCATGTCGCCACGGCGGCGCGCTTCCGTCAAGCGGCAGGAATCTTCCTACCCCTCTACCGTTGCACGCTACGGCCGCACCGGCGCTCACCGTGCAAAGTGGGGGTCCTGCAGGAGTAGGTTTCGCCGACTCTCTGGCGACGACGAATGAAGGGACCGCAGCAGGTAAAACGCTGCGACCGGCGGCGCAGTGGGAATGTCATCATTTGCTGCGTTCGGCTGTGTTCTGCTAGCTGCGGCGCGTATGCCCTCCTGCGCTTCGCGTAGCGAGAGTCTGGTACCGAAACTCGTAGCGGCGCAAACCCAACGCACGTGGGAAGGTCTCCTTTCAAACCGATGCTCTGTTACGAGCTGCAGTGTTCCAAAGCGCGCAGCGGTGGAGAAGTGAGAAGTGGTTAGAGCTTGTCGCAGCTAGCACGGTGCTCTGCTGGGAGATAACTGATTGCATGAATTCACCTAGATACACGTGCTCGGAAACATGAAATAATCAATCAAAAATACATTTATAATTTGATTTTTATGATGTATCGTTTTAATTTGCCATAAAATTATGTCAAATTAAATATTACTTCAAATGAATTATGTGATGAAAATTCTGTATTTAGACATTTAAGAAAGATGTAATTGAAGTAAAGTTTGTACCTGATGTTTGAAAAGATCTATTATTAAGAATGGATTTTTTTGCTTTATAAATTTATTATTTAGAAATAAAAAAAATATTCATATTTAATTCTTACCTACTGTACTACTGTTCACAGTGAAAATGAAAGTTGAAGGTTGTGCTATGCTTTGAAGTAACGTGAATTTTAACGTGAACGTAATTTTAAGTACATTAGTCTTGTTACATTTACTCAGAAAAGTAAAAACTGACAAATTATAGCACGTAAATTGGAAGAGTTCTTTCAGTCCTTGAAAACAGACATCTTAGCTTAGACCCCTCTCAGTTCTGACACACGAATTTCTATTGCCTGAATAATTTGTAACTGATGGATATTTATCAGATCACAATAATGAAAACTAAGCATGGAGAACTGGAGAGGGGGTAAAAATAGTATCAGACATGTCTTACGAAACATTGACGGATGTGAAATGTTTCAATTTTAAAATATATTATTATTTTCAAACGAGCCTATAGCTAACGTGCTTAATTTTGTTTTCACCTCCTTGGAGAAAGTATGTAGTAATTTATTACTGACAACTCATTAATAAGTCGTATTTAGGAGTTACTTGCTGCACGGTCAAACATTGAATATTAAACATACATAATAAATACATACATAAATAATAATAAATACATACACGAGTAGAAATAAATAATTTACTATCAACTGGAAGGAACTAAAGAGTGATATCGTATAGGATGTTTCACTGTTGTCAAAGAGATTGATGACGAGCACTGTATGATGAAATGGTTATGTAGCCTCAACAAGAGTTTTGCGCTGTTATTTTTGATTAAATCTTGTATTGAAAATAATTCCTAGTCTATATAATGTGTCTGTAGTAATCTTTCTCACAGCTATTGATTGGAAGCGTTCATGGACAACAATGAACCCTATTTATTTATAGCTGACGCAATAGTGTTTGTGAAGTTGAAGCGCTATTTGCAGGGCTTACGAATGGCTAGTGAAGTAAGTAGATTAAACGAAGCACTATATAGCTTGCATTAATTCCAACATGTCTAAACCTTGCGCTCAGTAAGCGCTTGTAGAAGTATAAAGAGATCTTTTACAGTATTACTGCGTGGTGAGGCGATAACGCTCGCGACGACGTAAGTCTTGTCACCCTGATCGCCTAGGAATGCGCTTGGGAGCAAATGTTGAGTAGTCCAGATGTACACAAAGAAATCGCACGCACGTGTCTCCTTGAAACCGCAGGTGAGAGCTATTCTGTTTAGGCGGAGAGAACAGAAAAGTATATCAATTATTTTGCATAGTTGATGCGAATCAATTAATCAAATTAAATGTTTGTGAGTTTACATACACGCGAGCCTGTTGCATAGTTTGTAATTGCTTATTGTTAACTCAACTGAATATACCCAAATATTTAGTATATTTACATAAAGGTGAAAGATACTAAGTAGATTATCCATAGCTGGTGTCTTCTTTTAATTGAAGATGATTTCAAAGTAATAGATGCAAACAAAATACCTATTATTGGAACGTAGATCATTTACAATTAAGTTAATTTACGTTTGATGGATTTTTGTTCATAATGCCAAAATAGTCTTCTCAGCAAATCTTTTTATGTTGCAGCTTTTTAGACAAATATCTGACAATGTAAACCAATCACTTACGAATTATTTATAACCAAACTGCAATTTCATTTAAACCAAAAATTTTAAATTGCAGTCCGTTTTTATTTTTGTCCTGTCTATTCCTATTTTCGATGTTCTATTAGTACGTACGTACTTTCATGATTCCTCGTGCCTCAGCATGATATGATACCTTTCTGTTGGTTGCACGTGTAATCTAAACAAGAGAGTTGCTAAATCAAATCAATTAAAATTTTGTTATCGAAAAATAGTGTTACACAAAGTCGGAAAAAAGCATTTAAATATTGGTTATCGATTAACCTTCATGACTTTGAACCGAAAGTTTTGTTATTCAAAAAAGAGTATGTTTTCACAAATGAATAATGCATGAAGGTCTATCTATCTCGCATTTACGTAAATCAGACGAAGTAATTTGGAAACCAAATGAGAACGTACTTAGCTATTCAAATATCTCTCCTGATGGTACAGTCAAAATTGGAGATTGGACTAGGTATTCTTGTGTCTTTTTATTTAGAATATAATACTTTATCGGTAATAAACAGAGAAATAATTGAGAGGGAGTCTTGAGAGAGAGAATGGAGAGAGTTTTTGAGAGAATATTATTTTGATAAACGATCACGATTTGACTCAAAGTTTTTACTACCCTTTTAATATTTTGAATAATATGAATATTAAATGGCTTAAATATCTAATGTTGAGATATTTACGTTGCATGAAGAAGGAACTCATTAGCTTCATTCATGTGGGTGTAAGAAAATTGAATAAAAGTTGGTATTTTATACTTTTTAAAAATTCTTGGGTAAATGAAAATGTGACTATTACTACAATTATAAGCACAGTTTGCATTCGAGAATAAATTAAAGAAAAGAAACGGAGTCGTTTTTGAAATTAAAGTATCCTCGATGACTCACTTGAAGGGAACCCAAATTTTAGAAAAAAGATTTGTTGTCCATAGGATCGTAAAAGTGAGCTAAAACGATCACAGAATAGTCATTTTCAAGAAAAATTGGCATTATTTACGGGATAGAGATTTTTGCAGATGGAAAAACATTTTAAAACAGAACAACTATTAAAGAGCCCCAAATTGTATTTTCGTCAAAATCATGAAATAACTTCCTCTTTACTATTTTTGAGCTTGGTATATAAGCGTTTACGAGAAAATAAGAAATAAGGAGATAATTAAGTATGTGTTTAAATATATTTCAAATGTAAGATATGACGGGAATGGCGTAAAGAATTAATTGCATAACAAGAAATATTTCTACATACCGAAAAAACAAACGTATTGCCAATTATGTTTATTTTTTATAATATTTAAAATATTTCCCCAAATATGATTGAAAACACTATTATCTCAAACTGCTTAATTCCGTCAATCATACGTTAATAGTGATATTTCGGTGACTGAATCTGGCAGATTTCTCTACAGCCATTTCACTTACCGGTGTGACGCCAGGAAAAAATAGTATAAAGAAATATTGGATCGTAGTGAAAGACGATAGTACAATTTACGTGTCGCTGACATCACTTGCATTCAATAACTGCTCAGATACAATGTTCGTTAGCACATAGAAGCATCTTATTCCTCGCGTGGGATACAACCCCACACGAAACAATGAACAGTTTGGGCGCTAACGTTGACCACAGACGGACAGTCACACTGCCAGACAGACAGACGGACAGTCATACAGACGGACAGTCATACAGACGGACAGTCCGACAGACGGACAGTCCGACAGACGAACAGTCCGACAGAAAGACAGTCAGACGGACAGACAGTCAGTCCTCATCTTATTCTAGTAGGAGGATTGTTCCCCGGGGTGGTGACGTAGGCTCTTTGGTATTTATCCGCACCACTTTCAACCGCAAGAACACATTGATGCTGGTATCCCGAACACACCGGTACGGTCGGCAATTATCTTTCATGGGAACCTCGCCAATTTAGCCTGCGTGCGCCCACTCTGCCAGCTCAGACCTACTATCTTTCC